ATTTCCTGCAAACTACAGGGTGTCCTGTAAGCCACAACCGCTTCACTCTCATCTACAAACGTCCAATCTTTTTTCCAACACAACCTGATGTTTTATTCAACACCAAAGAAGCCGATGGAAAAGTCCATCTCTGTGTTGGGCTCATTGTAATACATCAGGCGACAGGCTGAGATGCATCAGCCCATTCCCGTGTGTCCAGATTAATAATGTCACAATGCCTGCGAGTTGTTTCTCGAAGCACTGCTGCAGAATGTTTCCTGACACTGAAAGGTGCGGCCTGGCAGGACGTTTGATCTAAAGCAATGATGACTGAGGAGCAAGCCTTGCATTTGGCATTAGTGGCAGAGCTTTAAAGTTTTCCCTAAACAGTACAATGTCAGAATGGCAGATAGTTCTCTAACAAATCACCAATTGAGTAAAAATGTATTTAAAATAATTTTTAATAATAAACCAGTTTTATAGATATTTCCATCTCTGTGCTGCTTGCATTGCTTTTCTAATGATGTGCTTAATTCCTTTAAGCTGAGGGCTTAGCTACCACATTACACTAAGCAAAGCGATTCATCCTCACCTTTGACATTTTTCTAAAGTCTTATTCGCTGCTCAGCTGTGACCCTTCATCAAATCACACTGATAATCAAAACCACACATTTGTCTAATAGATGATTTTGAAAGCAAAGGTTGTGAAGTTCAAAGTCAAAACATTTATTTGCATGGCCCGTCTGTGCAAGAGCTGGAGGTTCTCAAAGCCCCAACAATACGCCATACATTAAAATCAGGTATATGAACCATGTAAATGAGTAGGAGTGAAATAACAAACACAGCCTTAAACTGATGGAATGAGGCCACAGGAAGACCAACGCACCAGATTAACCCACCAGCACACCTTCTGCATACAAACACTTTCTTTTATGGGAGTTAAAGGGAAAAAAGAGAAGTTTTTGATGGAGCTAAAGCAGTAACCATTATGAAAGTCTGTATTTTTATGGTTACATAGTGCCCTCTGCTGGCATTTTCATAGCCATGTATGAACTAATCTAAGAAAGTATACAGGATCAACTCATTTCTTAGCTTTTATTTGGTTTAGACCACTGTCTTAAAGGTGGTGCCAACATTATTAGTATAGTTTTGATGCATTTGTTTTTTTAAAACCTCTCTATATCCCAATGTATAAGTGAAGCCATGCAAATAAATTTGTTTTTTTTTAAGATTATATGTAGGCTCTAGTGGCCTTTATTTTGTTATTTTTGAAACTATGTAGACAGGAAAGTGGGTTATAAGAGAGGGGAGAGACATACGGCAAAGGTCAGCAGGACTGGGACTGGAACCGGCGACTGCTGGGGTCATGCTCTCTACCTCGAGATGACACCATAGCAACAACCCCTAAATGTGTTTTTTAAACATCCAAGATTATTTGACAGAAACGTTACATTTTATACACTGAAAATCTTAGTTGATCAGTAAACTCATCCTGTATTCAGAAGTTAATATGTGTTGTATTACTAAAAAAAAAAAAAAAAAAATTGAATTTGGAGACCAATATATATATATATATATATATATATATATATATATATATATATATATATATATATATATATATATCATTAAGTAAAATGTTAAGTTAAATGTTGCACATTTTGCTGTTGCAGATAAAGAAATAAAAATCAACAATTTAAGTAAATTTAATTAAAGTAATTTATGAAACCACATATAGAAGCAAAGCACTACATTTAGACAGCTTTCAAAGTAATTTATCTAAATACATGTAGAATAAAAAAGTATTATGCAATCAAATGTGTTTATTTCATTTTGTATTTAAAAACACATAAACTTATATTTTTTTGTTTGCTTACCTGTTTTTGTTAAATTTATCAGATAATATCTGCAGTTTGTGATAGAATATATTAACAGTTTCATTGATGAGGTTCACTTTAATAAATACTTTATATTGTAGGAAAAAATGATTCCAATTTTCTTTTAATGCATTTAGGCAGCTGCTATTTCCAGGATTCACTGCGGCATGAAATTGAAAGAACAGTTTGGTGTATCAGATAATTAGTTTATGACAAATAAAACTCATTTAAAAAATGTTAGACCTACCCTGTTTGTTTTTACTGTTGTTCTGTTTTATTCTTTAGGTACTTTATTTTTTCTGGAACAATAAATTGTAAAAACAAGTGGTTTATTTTTTTTTTATTATTATTATCACAATTTGTTAGAAAAGACAATGAAATTAAAATAAAACTTCATATTGATTGTGATAACAGTAAACAAACAAATCATCCAGGTGCATCTTCATTAATTAGAATATTATTGAAAATTGAAATTGAAAAGTGAAAGATATAAAACTCATTACGTTGAATTAAAACAATGTTTATTTATTAGATATAAAATCAGAACAAGGCAGCATGGCAAATTCTTTTCTGTGTAGGTCTAAAGAAAGATGTGTTAGATAAGATCATTTGAATAAGTCCCTTGAATAAGCTCTGATTTTAAAATGAACAGAGAAAACAAAAAAAAAAAAATAAATAAAAAAAAAGGTTCTCACTTTCAAAAGCAATAATTTGTTTTTTTATATTTTCAACACCATTTTTTACAAAGCTAATCTTAGATCAGACCAAAGTGTCCCATTTTGAAGGTACTTGTCTCTCTGACACTCTAGCAGAAAACCCCCCCAACTGAACTCACCAAGAGCAGCAAATGTTTACCCTCCAGAATATTATCCACTTCAAAATTTGCGGATGTATTAAATGCATCAAACATTGGAGATATCACACATAATAAAAACTCCTCCATGAGGCACAGATAAAGGAGTGTTATAAAGTTAATCTTTATTCTATAGCATCTGACATAGTTTACATGAAGGCTATTAGTCCTATTGGTCGTTACAATGGATGGATGAAAAATCATTTACAAGAAAACGCACTTCTTATATACTCAGATTCTGATTTATACATCATATATTTGATTTGTGATACTGATATTTATGTACAACATACATGTAGATGTAAAATAAGAAAATATCCATCCAATACAATCTTTTAGATCATCAAACTTTGAAAGGCATAAAGAGAAAAAAGTGAAAACTACAGAGATCTAATCCACGCTGACATCAACTCATGTTTTACATCTCGCTTCATTAAACTTGATCCTTGATAATAAGGCCCTTAATAAACATTCCTTTGCCTGTGATGTGTCAACTCATACAAAATGTTTACACTAAATGAAAAGCCTTTTATTGCTTCCTCTAAAGTCAAAGTTTTTAGATCAAGGTACTGCTTCAATAAAGTGCTCTGCATTGTGTATAATAGTACAAGGGGAGCCAGATCATGCAGAGGGAACAACGTTGAGGTAAAGAAGGTAGAAATATGGTCGCTGGACAGTGATGTCATCACATGATAAGTCCCACCTGTGCGTTAAGATGACTGACGGGTCAAACTATTGTTCTTGCTTGTTTCAAACTTCGGTTATTGCTGGAAATGCTGTTTTCAAACAGAAAAACATAAAACCAATCTAGTTGATTTTTTTTATATATATTACAACACTTGAATTCTGTTTAACTATTAAATGGATGTTTGAGGTTGTGCTGCTGTAACTTTAAGACCTGAGAGAACCAGGTAATCTTGATGCCTTTTGGTCCCGATTAGCTTCAGATCATTGAGACAATTTTTAAATGAGAAAATAGAGTGCATAAAAAACATAGTTTTCACATGTTGATCTGTTTTACATGTTGATACTGGTTTACTTGTTGATCTATTTTTTTTCGCAAGGCTGCATGTGAAAAAAAACATTGTTAAATCATGATTAACAATTAACCACTTCTCTTATAAATCGAGAATAATTTCTCAAGTCTTAGACTTATAGAATGAATGAATTTTGATAGAACTGATCTGACAACATAAAGTGGTCCATCAGATCCCTAAAATCAAGAATCATATAAAAAACAAACAAACAAAAAAAACCCACTAACATCCATCAATCTGAGAGGGTTATAAACCCATTTCCAGGTTTTTGGGACTCCAGTAAACTGTAGCATGAGGGTCAAGATCAACAAACACATTGACCAACCTACCAGAGACCATCAACTCAAAAAACCTAAAACACGTAGAGAATTATACCTCTAATTTGTCCCAGTTAAGGATAATATTCATGATTTAACAATGGGGGAACACCGCTGCTCAAGAAAGCATTTAATCGCTATGTCATGTTTATCCCCTAAAACTTGGTTTTGACAATATATTACATCTGGCATAAAATGATCAAGAACTGTGGCTGATTCACCATGATTAGGCCACCAATTAAAAATATTTAGATAAATAGCAGTTGGGTCATTCAGCAGGTTCCCCTCTAAGTCAAAAGTCCAGGCTTTGATCTGATTGAGATGTTGTGGCATGGCCTTAAATACAGTATTTGAAAGAAATGATGGAGTAGGCTAAAATTCCTCCAGTGACGCAAGCGACCATGTGCTGGTTTTTGCAAATGTCTGATGATAGTTATTAACACCAAGAATGGAACAACCAGTTATCAAGTATGGACGTCAGTGTTTCCTCAGTCCAGACAGATCTTTCCCTTTCAATAAATATTTGAAAACCGATTTTTGCACCCAGTTAGGTTAATTTTGTCTAATATAAGACTTTATTTAATGATCTGAAACAGGTTGATAACAAAAAAAACAAAAAAAAACAAAGAAAGGCGGAAAAACTTTCTCGGACTAAAGAACAGGAAAAGGATGAAAGGATAAACAACAAAATAAACAGTGACCTTGATTTAAAGACAGTTATTGCTTAGATTTTACTCACTTTACCCAGGAAATCAGTTTGACTTTAGGAAAACGCTTAAACACTGAGATGATCAAACCTATTTTAATTAGTCTCTTCTTTATTAAAGCAATGCATAAACTTCACCGTATCAGTAAACATGCAATTATAAAGTCACAGTAAAGGTGAAGCTTCTTGTACAAAAAAAGTAATGCAATGTAGATTTTGTTTTTAGAAAAGCAAAAAATGACATCACATGAAGGCGATAAAAACAAAAGATTTCATAATAAAGCACTTAAACATGTAAAGCACAGGATGTAATGTAAAAGGCAGAAGCATAAACAAGAACAGAGAAGCTCCGATAAATGCTGGTGAGGCGACGGTGTTGACTTGGTCATTCAGCCATTAATGACGAAAGCAACAGATTGAAACGACTCACTGCTGTAGAATACAATCCAGTGTTTACATTAACAACGGGAAGAGGTCATATGAGAGAAGGTTCCAGCTTAACTGAGGCAACAACTTACATTAAATATGAATACAGTATAATAGACTCTAATATAGGCCTTATGGCTTCAGAATAAAGGTTTTCTTTGTTGTGCCAAACATTTCTCTTCAAGATACGCGAGAGTGTTTGACAAACAAATGTATTTGGTATGAAAAAGAAAGTAGGAAAATAGTGTTTCTTTCTCTCTTGTTTAAAACTAAAGTCTTTGGAATCATTAGAAGTCCTCTGGAACGTGTTTTTTTTTGTTAATGAAATCTGAATGTTGAGTTTAGGGTCTCTTATCGATAATAATATAACATTCATGTTAAACTTATAATCAAAACAGCAGCGCATACTGAAAAGCTACAGTAATGCGAGTTTAGGTGTGCAATGTGTCCGACAAGACGCCTAAAAAAGAAAAGGTTTAATGATGACAGCTTGGGAGAGGATTTAAATCTAAGAAAGGTGCTAATAAGATGAATTGTAGTCTCTTTTTGTAGAAGGGTTTTTCCAATTTTAAAAGTTATTTATTCTATTAGTTCTCTGCATAGAAAATCTAAAAATGTTCTGCAGCTCATTTGTCGTTTCAGGGGTTTTCAGGCATCTTTGTCGGAATTTCTATACATTTACATTTCTCTAATAACCGTCACTCTAAGTTTTGCAGTAATGGGTTATATTTGCACAGGGATGGGTCCATGACCATAAAATATGTCAGGGATAAAGTACAACATCATTGCAATAATGCCCTGTGCAGCAAAGCGTCTATAGATTGAGGTTTAAGAGGAAATACAATTTAGAAACAAGTCTCAGGATTTTCAGATTTAATCTAAACATATAAACATTAAATAAAATAATCTCTGTATTTTGATTGACCACAAAGTGTTACAGCAGACATCAATGTTTAGCAGATTTTTCTGACTCCTCGGACAGAGAACTAGACTCTGCTGTTACTAAGTGGAAAACATTCTTGTCCAGGAGTCCAAAGTGGCTCCGCATAATAGACTTAAAATCCCTGTAATTTAGTGGTAAAATTAAATGATTCTTTTTACAGTAGTTTTAGTCAAAGTCACACCAAACACTGTGCAAAGGTGTGAAATCACAATTTATTTCAGACGCAAAAGAATGGCAGAAAGGCCGCTCTGACTGATTAATTACCTTTAGCTTGTGATTTTATTCTACAGCTGTAATTACTCAAAAAATAAAAAGAATATTTCCTAAATTTGTGTAGAGTAAAATTAACAGCTGATTAGGAGTTAATAACTCACTGTAAACCTTTTTTTTCTCGTTTTGTATTTAAAGTCTGTTTGCGCTACACAATTTTACAGAATTCTAGTTATTTTTATTTGTCAAATTTTTCTTCAGAAGGATGAAAGCAAAAGTCTAAAGTGAAAAACAAAATGTTAAGATCAGCAGGGAAACCCCAACGGATTAAAATGATCCATAGATTCAAAGTAGAGCTTTCCTCTGGGCTAAATTTCAACCCCGATTTTATTTTACTCTGATAGACAAAGTAGAAACTAAACGGGACACATTTTGCTCTCATCCTTGGAAAGGTTACTTAAGTTTGAGCACAAGCTTATTATTTAGGTGAAACTCTTGAGCGTTAAAAAAAACATTCAGTATTCAATTTAGTTCCAGGTTATACATTGCTGATTTTCCATAAGTAGACATTAGACATCAGTTATGAGTGATTTGTCTTTCTGTTCATCCTTATACAACTCTCTATAGAATGAACCAAAAAGTTAAAAAGTAGTGCAATGACTAATCAAGCAAATCATCTGGATATACATGAAAAAATGTGTCTGAATATAACATTCTTTAAATATATACTTAGTAAAATTGCCATATGAAGAACAAAATTGATGTAAAACTTTTACAAATGATGGAGAATAAAGTGGGAATGTGATGTTTCTGGTTCATTCAGCAGATGCTGTACAGTTAACCAGTGATGGTTATGATGCTTCTATCAAACAGAATTAGTTATAAACAAGTTAGTAGCTCAGCTGTGCAAAAGTTCAGGTTCTTTTTATTTGTTTGTTGTTTCTTTAATGCCCAAGTTTGATTTCTAACTTCAGCTTGAGCAATGCTTTGCATGATTGAAATGACTTTTAAAGGGTATAGAAAGAGTTATTAATGATGGTATTTTAAACCCCTATACTGCATAGTTTTAAATTTTTTGCCAAGACATGCCGACAGTCAGAAGGTTATAAAATATTAATAGGTGACTGCTGTGCAAAAAAAAACTATTCAGGTGTGTGAAATGACAAAATAAATGTTAATGGGCCCTTGGCTATTACATAATAAGGGAAAACTGCTTTAAGATTTTAATCAGAGCTGAGAAGTGTGCTCTAAACTGAGGTAAACATTTGCTAATAAAAGTGATTTAAACCAAATGGGGGAGCAATGATGGTGGCTCATGATGTGCAAAAAGCTTCTCCAACACTCAGAAAACTGTTTTTAAAGAGACAAAACACACCAACCCCCCTAAAGAGGGTTACCTTAGTTGTAGAAAAAAGGCTGCAGTCTTTAAATACTATTGTTCTTTAACTCACTAGCCTGCAAAGCAAAAACACAACAGCTTCAGATCCATATTCCCCAAGAATGCTTTAGACTGATTCCAAACAGTCTAAAATGATATAGAAGTCTACAGAATGCCCCTCTTCCACAGGTCTAAAGGGAAAAAAAGTCTCAAACAGCCACATCTATGTTTATAAATCCAGCAACTTAAACTGATTGATACGAAAAACTGACGTGCAAAGATTAAAAATCAAAGTGAAGATATGAATGTTCTTGTTTGTCCCACACAACTTAACTCTAAAGACTGGTGCAGAATTTAAAAACTAACATTTTCTAATACCTAATACTAAAACAGTCCAAAGCTTTGGTAATGCATAGTTCTTTACTGAACATCTCAGATAGACAGCCGTGACATCCACCTTCTCCCAGCTTTCAGGTACAGCAGCATTTTTTTTTTTACTGCTGTAACCAAATAAAAAGCAATGATAATAAAAAGATAATGGCTCTTTTCCCCTCAGGCTCTTCCTCTTTGTTACTGCTTCTTACAGCTTCTGCAGTTTTGGCTTTTTTTTTTTTAGATACCGGTAATTTCAACCAGAGCAGCAACTAGGACCTGCTTTGCATCTTAAGGCAGGAACGGTTCGTCCTCGTCTTCCTCCGCAGCAGGACCCGGGTCGCTTAGGCACCTCATCAGCTTCTGCTGGTCTCTCAGATCATCTTTCTCACTGTGTTTGTCTGATCCACTCGACTTTGTCTTCATCATCAGGCCCTGGTCGTCGTTCTGGGCAGGCTGTCCGGTCTCGTCAAACAGGTTGACAGAGTCTGGAGACTGTGGAGACGCCAGGTCAACCTGGATGACGGGCACCCCGTCTGCTGATGGCTTTACGGTGAAAGACTGTGGATCTAAAGGCAGAACAATGATGCAATCATTAGGCAACAATAGGGTTTAAATATAATTTAGCATTCTATCAGCATGCATGAACTTAAACGTTTGAAACCAGACATTTTCATACAATGTATAAAAAATATATTCCTCTTTTTCTCACTCTGACATTATATCAGAATCAACATTTGCAAGTTTAGAACAGTTAGGATTTCCAAATTATTACAAAATGAGCCAAAAGTTTGATCCAAGTTTTCCGATTTCAAGGCATTTTGATCCAATAATATACCAAGGAAAGGTGCTTTTTCCCTCATAATTTGAAGAAAGTAATAAAAGCAAAAAAAATAATCGGTTAAAATGTATCTTAATAATTTGGTATGTATCCAAAATAAAAACCTTGTGATCCCAACTGACCTAAAGCAGGAAACGTGAAGGCAGTGAGAAAAAAACAGACTTGTGCATCTTTAAACAGAATAATGCTAGAAACGTATGTGCAAGGGGAGGAAAATGTGAACTAAATCTAAAGGTCTTTGTGTCGCTGGGTTAACATACAAAGTTTAGACAAGTTTGCAGTTCAGCAATGATAAGTAATGAACGCATGCTGGGATATTTCGCTTTGGGTAACGCTTGAAGGAATGCAGCTGAAGCTTCTGATATACAATCTGACCTTGTATATATTAGTACTGCAGAAATATAAGCATGCAGATTAGAGTTGCTGTTCGCTCATCTCTCCTATAGAGGGCTCCACTTTACTCTACATACCTGATGAGTTTTTGTTTCCTTTTTGCTGCTGAGCAGGTATGAAATCAGTATTTCTGCCTAAAATGAAACCAAACTTTGTTTTTAATGCTGGCTCGCACAAACAAACGTTTCCATCAAAGGGAGGGACTGGGAAAATGAGATTCTAAAACAGAAACATGCATCTCAGTGAATTAGAAAAATCTGAAATCAACTGAATTTATTTTTTTTATTTTTTGTTAGTTTTACCAGTAATCTAGTTCTAGCAATTTAGAGTGATTATTTTGGAGGAGTCTACGCGCCACTGTCCTTTAACCTTAGAATATATCCCCAAAAACTCTTCATCAGTCCACTGCTGAACATGTCATGAGGACGGATTCAGTCATCCACTTCATTCAGGTTTGTTGGAGAAAGGATGCAAAGAAGAGCCGCAGCCCGTTGGCGATAGGGAGTGGGGTTGGAGATTCTTCTTAGATAATTGCACACAACATAAAATATTGTATTTATATTTCCTTCATCATCTAAATATATATATATATATATTTAGACATAAAGGGTTAGAATAAGTTGAGGGGTGCCCAGTGCAGGCCTAGGTAAAATATGCACCGCTTGCCACTGTTTAAACATGATATATTAACACATTGTAACTGAAATGTTGACCTGCAGGTCGTTTGTATTGTTGCTTCTGCTAGCTTTCATATTAAACCTTAGATTTTCTGTGGCATTTATAACAGGTCAGGTTTTTGTATCAATCATGGTGATACCATAGCATCTAACCAAGTTGTACTTGTTAGTTTGCTCTAGTTATACAATCCTCTATTCTAGTTTTTATATATATATATATATATATATATATATGTATATATATATATATAGACACACATACACACTCTGTGAGAATGTGCACACTGCCATTTGCCTTGCTGCTGGTACGACTGGATTCTCCACTGAGGCACAAAGTATTTGTATTGTTTTATTTGACTAGAGCTGGAAGGCGCCACGTCAAACTGGGACATGGATTAAACATCTTTAACAATTTCAGCAGAGGGAATTAAAAGGTGCCCTACAGTTTTCACATTATTAGTTCTGCTGAATATGGACTTAAGAAAACACAATGAACCAACACCAGCAGATAACTTGGCTCAGAAATCTTCCGGGCTAATTCTAAATTAACCTGAGGGAAAGAGAGTTCTGAGCCTTTTAACCATTTAAAACGTTAACCTGACTGTTATCTGATGAGGGAACTTTGGACCAGTAAGCACTACCAGTTCATCCTCTTCAGGCAAGCCACTGCTCTTACCCCTTGCTCACACTGGCTACGGTGCAGTTACCGAGCCGACGGAGACCGCAACTCCCGCACACCCCCTTTCACACCGCCCTTTTGACTACGGTGCGGTGCGGCTCTGCGGCTCAGGCAACAGGTCCGGAGATTTAACAGAAGTTCACTTGAGTTCACGTAACTTCACGCGATAACACGGCCCAAATAAAGGATTTTTGCGAGAGCTTGTTGCAGAGGGCTCCGGCACGCCGCAAGGATAGCTTTCTTGCGGAATTTTCTGCAGCGCCGGAGTGTCTCGGTAACCGCAGCCGGACAGCTCAGCCGGTGAGAGAGGTTTACGTCTTTTTAATGACTTGGAATCACTGCGGCGCCGCACCCACCGCACCGCAACGGTAAGACCGGAGTCGGTGTGAGCCTGGGGTTAGATAGATCAGCAGCTGTGACTCCAGCTACAGGCCCTTTGAAACGAGCTTTGCTTCACAATCATCTCAAGGCTATTGCTTCTTGTTTGTGCATAATTATAAACAGCAGTGTTTCCATTACTAAAATTTCCTTTGATAAGTTTGGATGCAGCTCCCTGATCAGCAAACTTTCTTAGCAGTAAGCTTACAGGACTTTACATTTTGAATTGACATAATTTAGGTAAACAGTGATATTCAAATTTACTGAGATGCATTTTTGAGGATTTTGAATTAACTAACTTAATTAAATACAATATCAGATCCATCTGGTGAGGTACAAGGTGGGTTTGCGGCTTTGGTTTAAAGAGAGACCATCCAGTATCTGGTGGGATTCCGTTTCTGTGTTTAGCTGATGTGTTTATGCATATTTTACCCGAGGCTAGTCTGGCTCTTCTCATAGTCGGGGAGTCCTGAGTACGAGCAGGCACAGTCAGGTGGTTGGCCATCTCTTTTATCTGCAAAGGCAAAGAAAAGAATCTGATTTATAAAGTCCTAAACATCTGCATCAGTGTAACATTAAGCTTATATAATACGAACATATTAGACAAATCTATTCATCTGATTCGTCCCGCTCTCAGAGTTCAGTGCCTGACCAACAAGCAATCAATATCTTTATAAAGCAGAATTGAAGTGTCGTTTTATGCTACTGGAGCCTCCAGAAATCCTGAGCAGTCCTCAGCGACTTCTGCTGCATTTAATTTATCCTAAGAAGGATTGCATTTCTTTTCACAATTCCAAGCTAATGAAACAGAAGAAAATGAATGATCATCGTTGGAGAATAAATTAGTTCCTCTTGGAGCCAGAAAAGAAAAAGAAAAAAAAATTGTTAACTCAAGGCTGACTAATTGACACATTAATCCTGTTTTTTTTCTTTTTAGTTTCTGGTTTGAAGCCTGAATTTTGTGGTGATGCTCTCAAACTGACTTTTTGCTTCATGACTGTGTGCGTTGCTTTGCCTTTTTACACAGTTTGCACATTTTACTCTTTGTTTATCAAACAGGAGACACTATAATTCATGAGATGATGTGTCACATACCTTCCTGTCCAGCTCAATCCTCATTTGCTTTTTTAGGATCAGGTCTTTAATTCCCTCCTCCTCAGGATCACCCACCAGAGTATGTCTGTTGTAGGAGTGCAACTGAGAAACAGAAGCATAAAAACATCAATATTGCATGTTTAGAGGACATTTGGCAACAAATGACTAACAGATAAGGAAGCGATTAAAAAAAGCAGCACTCTACATAAAAACAAAAGCCTGTGTGATGAGGATTTTTACCCTCTGCCGTGTCCTCTGAAGGTTGGTCCTGAGGATTTTCCTGATTTCTTCCTCTCGGCCTTTGGACAGCTGTGGTAGAGCTCTCTCTTTGGGCTTCAGCGGAGCAGCCTGGTTCTTGGGTTGAATGTTTCTAATAGGAAAAACATTGAGAGATGTTGGATTGTTGGCTGGTGTAAAAAGAAGAGAGCATGCACACACTGCAAGTTATCTTGTTTGTTTTCAATAAAAAGGTCACTGAGCTGAGATGGTCGGTTATAGACATGAAGAAATCTACCTCATTATGAAACATGAATGATACCTGAGTAATACCACTGAGCAGTGCTGCGCTTATCAACAAAAATACTAATGCAAAAGCAAATTTTATACAATTCTACTAATGCATCAATCTTAGTTGATTTTCTGTTTTAAATGCAGTTTATGCAGTAAATGGAAGATTTAGTGTGAAAAATGATCAATCTAAATCAAGAGAATAATTACTCTGCAAACAAGACAGAAAAGCAGTTCACTGAACCACGACAGAGAAACTCAGTAAAATAGATCAAATCTGTCAACACTGCTCAGTAAATTGGATTTTATGTAATTTGTTTCATTTGAAACTTTAGATCTTTTTGTTTGCCATTTAAGTTTCAACAAAATCTACAAAAAACTGTTTTCTTCTCTAAATTCAAATCACAGCTATCATCTTCTAGTGATTCTGAAGAATTTGCATCTTCATTTAAATCAATAGAGGGTAGCACTCACTGCATGGAAACTGTGGACGGCATGGCAGAAGCCAGCTTGGATCCTCCTCCACTCTCCACCATCTGAATAGCCTGCTTCATCTCCATCTTGTGGTAGAAGGCGATGAGCTGGGGCTCCTTGGAGCGCTCGCCTACAATCAGGAACCCCTTCACGTATTTCTTGTTAAAGCGGTTCAACCTGAGAACAGAGCAACAGTGACAAATAAACTACAACATACGACATTTTTTTTTGTTTTGTTTATAGGGCTTGGGCGTCATGACGTAATTACTTTGCGTGGCCGCCATCTTGATGGCCTCTTCTACCGCGGCTCAGACTACTGCCTATGACTACCGCGTACTGTACTCCTTCTCAGCCGTGTTTTAATTTGATTAATTTCACCTTAACTTGATTTCAACCATGGTAAACCGTTGCTGTATTGTGGGCTGTAACAGCGCAACACATGATCGCCATGGGAAAAACATGGAAAATGGGTTAACTTTCCACCGCTTTCCTGCCTGGAGGCGCAACCACGGAGACCAAGTGTCAGAGATAAAGAGTCGTCGGCTAGTTTGGATCGCGGCTGTAAGACGAGCGAACATAACTTTCCAGAGTATTCCAATGTCATTGAGAGTGTGTTCACTGCATTTTCATTCTGGTAAGTTAAAGATGCACGGTTTTATTTTATAGTCTACATTGTTTCTTTCCTTCAAAGTTGGGATCTTTTACGGGAAAATAATAAAAACGGCAGCAGGAAAAGGCTCAAATACGTGAGAAACCTGGAGGGTTTGGGGAGGGTTGGCAGTTACATTACTAACTACACCTTTGAAAAACATAGCAGCTAGTTAAAAGTACATTACACGCGTGAGTGGTTGTTAGCACTAACGGTTAGCAATCACTAATCTAGCAGGTTCCAGAGCCCGTCTGAGCACAGCTTACCTTTGTACGGGTTACTGTGTTCCCACTGTTTACTGGCTTTATGATCTGCAGCTCCTGAACCCATCCATTCGTGAACTGCATATGAGACTCCAAGGACTTGTAGCTTGGGAACTGTTTTGAAGTATAGGCTCTCACTCATCGGTGCTCCACTTATTGTTTGGAACTTCATATGGATCCAAATGATTAATAATGCTGATTTTGTCAACATACCAGTCTCTGGCTTCTCTATTTAATGTGTCCCGGTAAATTCCAGATCCTTTTCGGGATTTTAACATCTTTTTTCTCTCTACTTCTATCTCTCTACTTGTATCAGAGCTATGTTTACGTTCCCGTAGCCCTCAATATGGCCGCCAAGTCCCACAATGCAACGCGGATCCCAAGCCCTATTTCTAGCTTATTCTTGTGAAAGAATTCCATTTGTTTACATTTGTAAAAATACTAAAATCCCCAGCAAATTCATAAGGGTTAAAATGCACACAAATGTAGACGTTTTGAACTGTCAGCTCGTTTTTTAGCGCAATGCCTAAACCCATTTATTCATCTCCTGCTCCTTCCTTCCATTGGGATCTAAAGTAAAACCAGAGACTGACTCGTGGCTCCGAGGGAGGAGTCAATGAAAAGTACTGGGGCTCTTGGACCATTTAATTAAAGCATTCAGATTCTAACTAAATTAGGGATGGGAATTTTTCAATAAAAATAGTCACAGCGTTAGTGACTTTGTTTAGTTTGTAGGAACTAAAGCATCAAGACATCCTACAGCTCAGCCTCAGTTGATATACATACTTGTCCTTCCAGTGATGATGTCCATAGTGCCCACAGATATCCTCAATCCCAGTCAGCAGGTGGTCAAGGAACTGCAGATTGGAATCAGAGATGTTAGAAATAGGATACCTGCCCTTCTTTAGTAAGGCCCTGTCTGTACTGTCAAAGTCAAATTAGTCATTATTAACAACAAGGTTATGTTTACCACAGATGTGGAGAGTGAAGGAGAATTAAACAGGTTAGAAACCAACAACCTTTGTCGTTTATTGCCCTTTTACCACAGAAATAAACAAATCAGAGCAGAAATATGTAGCAGCCTTGTAGAAACATAGATTCACTGAAAGAATCCTCTTATTGGTCAAGGGGTTGACTCTGTATCTCACAACAGGAGGAGTAAACCTGCTTTCTGCAAGTTTGCTGTGGTTTAGTTTGTTCTGGGAATGTGACAGCACAAGATTTCATGGAAGAATCTCAACGGAGATCAAGATGGAGATTTTTATTACTTTAAATTCATATAATAACACATTTTAATTAAACGAACAAACTCTAATGTTTAAGAAGGATTATATTAAACAGGCTTTAAGAGGTTACACAGTAATACCTGAGGTTGTCTTCATTAATTTTCACATCGATTGTCATACTGGTTCTATAGCTAACAACTCCTGTCTGTTTCTACTTATGTAATCGACTTGTTAAGTATTGCGATGATGTTAAATAATCCCTGAGACTTCAGCACAGACCAATCTTTACTCAGCTGCATCCTGTGGGTTTTGGGTTGCCATCTCTATCAGTACAAACACCATCTCTGGTAACATCAGCTTCAACAACAGCAGATGATGAGCTTTAAAATAGAACAGATGAGAGGATTTGGACAGCTGCTGCAGCGGCCAGATGATTGATTGGAGCAGCAGCAGCATTTCTTTTTAGAGAAACGGAGAAACTAAGAACTGCATTATTATTTAGACAGCAGCTGACCCATAGATCGGCCCCGGCGTTCTGGCTATCAGTCTGAAGTTTGACGGCTGCTGTTGCTATAGTAACATGTCATTAAGTGGAAGCAATGCTCTTATGCATTGGCAGAGAAAAATATTTATATGACAGCCCCATATGCAGTGGGGGTGAAAAGTCATCTGCCACAGAAGTACTGATCTGCAGAGTTAAAGCAGATCAACATAGCAACATACTTTACTACCAAACTAATATTCCTACTCTTTCATAATGTTTCCAATGTACATTGTATGAAAAGCACAACTACAAAATAAATAAAACAGCCAGGATAAACAAGCATGAAATACATGTATCAAATGTGTGAACAGATGCACCAGTAGCTTACATTGTTTTCTGTATATAATAGGTGAGTAAATAAAGAGTTATTAGAAGCCTGGATGGGAGTCTGTTTAATTTCTTTTCCACAGTGTCGGGTCTGTGCTGTTCTCTCCTGCCTCTAAGCACTGCTGTTTTACATTGAAGTACCCATTAAGGCTGTCTGCTTCTCCTGCCTGGAGCACTGGTGACTCATCACTAAGCCCTTAGAGTGACACAGTGGGCATGTGTGGGCTGTGGGTGTGCAGACATGTTACAGCCACTGAAGACCACTGTGCTCAGAAGCAACAAGTACACAAAGCTGATGGGCCGACATAATAATTGTTGCAAAAATCTAAAGTGATTTTTTAGGCACATGTATGAAGTACCGCCACCCAGCCACTAGGTGGAGGCAAGGTTCAGCATTTGACCTCAGAGCTCTGAGAAAGAGGGTTGATCAACTTGTTATCTTGTAATGAATTCCTCTGATGACCCACTATCAGTGGAAACACTTCAATGTCAGCCACGGAGTTATGGGCCCTTCACATGAACCGCCTCTTAATGGCTCCTACCTGAGTGTGGATCTCCTCGTTGATGGAGCGCTTAGCCTCTTGTTTCTTCTTCACTGCTAACAGCTCCACCAGGGGCTTAATGGTCATACCCTTAAAGGGGGATGAGAAGAAAGAAGCATTATTCACTTGAAACACCCTGTTAGCTTTTACCAAGAAAGAAATAGGTTGCTACAATCATGGTTGGACCATTGTGACCTGTAAGCGTCTGTTTAATATATTTATTTTTGAGGGCAATTATTCGTGTCACTAACTCACTTTATTGAAGGAGAGATGCCAATAGAAATCAGTCTGTGACCAAATTATTCTACACTCTACACTTGCTAAAACAACAACAAATGCCCCTTTCCCACAGGAGGTTCCCATCTCTGATGGGAACAAATTAAGTTTGTGAGGCAGTAGAGAGAATGACAAGCCTTGGATTTTGCAGGACAGAGATACCAAAAATATGACGGACCATGAAGGGTTGAAAACTGAAAACTGTGTGTGAAATCATGAGTCTCGCCTTGGCATGCAATGTTACATGTTTAAAGGGTTCCTATTAGAAAGTAAATATTATGACTGTGCTATTTATAAATCATAAACCATGCCTGGGGGTTGAAAGAAACAAAAAAAAGGACATCTGTTTTCAACATGACATGCAGGCAGGATGTGCTCGATCTAATAACCTAATCAGCTGACTAGAAACAAAATCAGTAGTTAAGATGCAAATAAATTTCCCCAAAGACACAAAGCCAAACCACCATGAAACAGCTCATGTAATTTTCCATAAAGAAAAAACAAATCCTCCAGGAGGTGGCGCTTGAGACCATTACTTTGATCATCGGTGAGTCTATAGAAAAATAACAGGTTTGATGATGGCGGGTGGAAGAAGGACACACTATGTGTGTGGAAGGTATTTAAAGTTAGTGATTCTCTAGATCATTAATTAATTTCAGATAAAGGGCAGATTAGACTTCTGCAACCATACACATCAAATCTCGCTTGGGTCTGGTTGCGAACCAGTTTTGCTGTTATGCTTCTGCACCGTCGGCCTCGAATTTCTAGGGATGAACAGCAGTTTCCCGCCAAAGCACTAAGGGGAGCCTATTCGAGAACTTGTGAGAACTTCGGCGGAGCCGGCGGGAGTGTTTATCTTCCAAAGCAGCAATGGCGCGTCTGCAAGATGTCACAGAGATGGATCTAGAGTTGCTAGACATTGAAGAGGAACAGGTTTTGTAAATGGAGTTGGCAAAAAGACCGACTTTCGTTGTAGTTGTCCTTTGTAGTTGTTCCTCGGTTTTTAAAAATGACGAGCCCCGGCACCGAATCGAGAAGGACGACCACACAGACAGCCCGACAGGCATACCAAGGACCAATCACAGCCACGTTTTGTCTGCGCACTTCAGCTTGAGGTCTGCGCAGGTTAGCGACCGTCCGACGCGTAGTCAGGATTTTTTTGAGACAGATTTGACAGTTGCACAGGCTATGCGTCAGAAGCATACATTGGCCTTAAAGCTGGATTAATCATAAAGCCTTTTATTTCTACAAAGGAAAGTCTTCCACCAATGCAGATCCACTGTTCAAGCAGACTGCCATCAAATAAAGCTTGGCGGGAAAAATCACCTGATGAGAGAACCTACGGCAGCACAGTTAGTCTTTCATCCATGCCGCATTCAAAGACTCTGGCAGTCTTTTGAAAATTTCCCATAAAGAAGTCTAGTTGTAACAGAGAATGCCCACAGGGATTACAGTTTAAAGTTAATAACTACACTAAACAAGAAGGGTGTGTTGTTGTTCTAGTAAATTGGGTGTTCCAGCCTTCCTCAGAAACATCCAACAACAGTGTCCATGAGTTCTGTACTAGTGCACCCATTGTACATATAAAGCAATAACCATTAGTGCCTCTGCTTGTTTATATCGAACCAAAACAATATCAAATGCAATATTTAGACCCTGCCTTTCTGACAAAAAAATAATTACTGTTTAAATGAATATAACAGAACTAAAAAGTCATGTTTGTGTCTATAGTCGTAGTTAACAAGGGAATAATTAGCAATTCCCTCTGCTTTCTTTAAGTGTAACTAGACAGACAATTAGGGTTGACTACATTCCTAGAACTAACAAACCATATCAACCCTGATACAAGATGTTGCTACTGCTAGTAGAAAAAAACCCGCATTTTTCTCAGAGATTTGCCTTTTTCTCTTTCACAGCCTGATATCCCCTCTAGTCCTAGTATGAAGAGTGAAATGAGTGCTATGCTGATGTGAGACATGTTCAAGAGCAAAACCAGGAGTCCCGTCCAAACTGCCTTGGATTAATACGGAGGGAAGGATGTGTCTGTGTATCCTCGCTCCTGTCTGCAGCTAAAGCCTGGAGCAGATCATTCTGTTACTGAAAGAGATCAAGTCCGCTGTCTGTCTCACTATAATGGCACAAAGCTGAAGAGAGCATATTGCAGCTTTCTTAATAAGAACCGTCAACTGCAATACAAGCAGACAAATAAAGTGTTTCTATTATTTTGATAATTACAGAAATCAGCGAAAAAACACAGGAAAGGAATACCGTCTACAGTATGTAATTAAGACTGATGGCAGATTCAGCAACAAAAACGGTCTAACCTAAACATAGCTTCTAAGCAAGTTGCCATGAAAAATAAAAAAAAACATTAACAGAGGTTTCTAAACAAAATTAAGATCTAAACTTTGACCACCTGATCACCTGTAAACGTGGCCTCAGAGTTTAAGACGTGTTTTATAGCAGGAATAAAATGGTTGCAACAGCTCTGAGCATCACCAGGTACAAATATGACGGTCACAGGCGCAAGTTAAAATTCAAAGTAGATGAAAATATGGAAATGCATTACACCAAAACCAATATGTCTGCTGTTCACCAACACAGGGGATTGCAGGCAAGCCATTATCTGGCTACTAGTGCGAATTAGTAGAAGTTTGATTGAGTTGATGAAATCATTATCTCTACCTGAACAAAGACGGTGAAGAAAACCACTGTGATGATGGCAGTCAGGAAGATGTTTCTCATCTTAAAATGATCTTCGTCCAACAGAAAGCCCAGGGAAAAGGCGATGGCACCTCGCAGCCCACCATAGGCTATAATGAACTGATCCTTGGTGGTCAGTTTGACGATGCGGAACTTGTTGATTACAAACGTAAGACCCACCACACCTGAAAGAGAGAAGGCACGTAAATATAACATTGTTTTAATTTTGAATATGTGAGCTTTAGATTCCATAAAGTACTACAGAGCAGACTTTTTAAAAGTAATTTAACCTTGTAAAATTACTTTAGCACTTTAGAGCTATTTTGATCTTATGTTCTTTGTGTAATGCATGTGGAGAACTGTTTAATAATGCTTAAGGTATAGTTAGTATAATATAATTATTTCCTTGTAGTTTGCGTAAAAGGATGTTGGAGCTAATCGAGTCAAGTGTGGTATAAAGAGTGACTCCGGTTCATGCCAGCTGTTATGTTAAGTTTAATTAATAGCGCATATATTCACCTGAGAACTGCTGATGTCTTTGTTACAGACCCTGGTTGTGTGCACTGAAGTGTATATGACAATAAAGTAGTGATTCTAAATCTATTTTTTTGTTTTATTGTATTTTAAATAGGCCTATAGGCTCATAGGTCTTTTGTTCAAAAGTAATTCCAGCGGCCCTGCAAGACATCCCCCTGAGACCTCAGGATCAAACCTGGTGGAAGTATGTGCATGCAAAGGACACTTTCCTTCAGTAAGGGAAGGGAAAACAGTCAAAGCTGATAGGAGGATGAAAAAAAGTTAAATGCATGAAATACTAAAACAAACAAAACATTTTTAGAGGCTGCAAAAGATTCGAAAAAGGGCAGAGGTCAAACTGAGGCAGCAACCATGGAATAGTTTAAAGCACATCAAAGCGAATTAATGTCCGAAAAAGAAAAAATATTAACTTTAATACAGATTGTATAACTTATGTCTGACAGACCTGAACAATTTTGCATTTCTAAATTCTGAAAAATTATGCATTACAGCAAATCATTTTCTACTTGAGTAGAAGTAGGAAAATATTGCTGCGAGGCTCATCGTCTATCCACTAACCCTAACTTCTTAACCCAAATGACGTAAATGATGTAACCACGCAGACAAGGCTGTAACTACCATTCAAGATAACGAGGTCATGTCCTCTGTATTTTTTTTATTATATTTTTCTTAAATTGTGAAATTAACTAAAAACAAATTACACTGAAACTGAATTTGGGGCGATGATCTAGGTCTCCCACAAAATTGCCAGGTTTTATATTTTAAGATGAACACGAATATCTAAAAAAAAAGTTGCTAGGGGGTTTGGGCATTTGTGCTGCGCTTCCTCCTCAACACGCACTATCGCTATGGTAACTGACATACACAGGCTACAGACGTCGTTAGCGAGTCCATCAGTAATGGCAGTGTCTGGAAGAGGAGCACATTTAGCAACAAACGCAGGTGGAGGGCAGTTTAAGGTGTAGATAACGAAGAAAAAAAAAAAACATTTTCATGAGGAAATATTTCTGCCCAGCGAGCCACTCAGACTGCAAAGGAACATCTAACCAAAGTTTATTTAACTCTTTCTGTACAGGTCATCAGTCAATTTTAAGCAGTTGAATCAACATTCATAATGCAATTGATATGTTACCGACGTCTTGAACTGAAAATAAAACGTTTATTCAGCCTTGATTTCTAAATGTTGGACGTTGAACTATTTTATATTTTTGCAAAAAGCAGCAAGATGTCAGAGAGCACATCGTGTTGGACAGTAAGTTATGCTCAAAAACAAAATAAAACAACCGGTTAATTTTCAATATGATTATTTACTGTGGTAACTTGCCCTTACTTCATAACGGTCCATCAAAACACCTCAGAATGCCCCATATTTTTTGACTCCTATATATACATATTCCCTTAAATGTGCATATTTTATCTTGTTTATTTAATATTTTTGCTTTAACTTATTTATAGCTATCCTATTTTTTACTATGTCATACTTCAACATTGGTCTGCTCTGGAACCTGAAAAACTAATTTCATTTAATTTCATGCTAACGTAATGAAATGACTAATAAAACTTGAAATATGATGCATATTGTTTAATTTCATTTCTATCATTTTAGTATTTTACTGTGACGATTTTCTTCACTAAAGGGAAAACAGGATAGAGAGGAAAAGGCTGAGTCAAACCAAGTTCCTCTTTGGGCTGAGCAACAAGAGGAGCAGTGAGGAGAGAGATAGAGGGTGAGCATGTACTACAGAAGGAAGTTATAGCGCCAGAACTGTACACTCACCGGCCACTTTATTAGGTACACCTGTCAAACTGCTCGTTAACACTTAATTTCTAAGCAGCCAATCACATGGCGGCAACTCAGTGCATCTAGGCATGTAGACATGGTCAAGACAATCTCCTGCAGTTCAAACCGAGCATCAGTATGGGGAAGAAAGGTGATTTGAGTGACTTTGAACGTGGCATGATTGTTGGTGCCAGAAGGGCTGGTCTGAGTATTTCAGAAACTGCTGATCTACTGGGATTTTCACGCACAACCATCTCTAGGGTTTACAGAGAATGGTCCGAAAAAGAAAAAACATCAAGTGAGCGGCAGTTCTGTGGGCGGAAAAGCCTTGTTGATGCCAGAGGTCAGAGGAGAATGGCCAGACTGGTTCGAGCTGATAGAAGGGCAACAGTGACTCAAATAACCACCCGTTACAACCAAGGTGGGCAGAAGAGCATCTCTGAACGCACAGTACGTCGAACTTTGAGGCAGATGGGCTACAGCAGCAGAAGACCACACCGGGTGCCACTCCTTTCAGCTAAGAACAGGAAACTGAGGCTACAATTTTCACAAGCTCATAGAAATTGGACAATAGAAGATTGGAAAAACGTTGCCTGGTCTGATGAGTCTCGATTTCTGCTGCGACATTCGGATGGTAGGGTCAGAACTTGGCGTCTACGACATGAAAGCATGGATCCATCCTGCCTTGTATCAACGGTTCAGGCTGGTGGTGGTGGTGTCATGGTGTGGGGAATATTTTCTTGGCACACTTTGGGCCCCTTGGTACCAATTGAGCATCGTTGCAACGCCACAGCCTACCTGAGTATTGTTGCTGACCATGTCCATCCCTTTATGACCACAATGTACCCAACTTCTGATGGCTACTTTAAGCAGGATAATGCGCCATGTCATAAAGCTGGAATCATCTCAGACTGGTTTCTTGAACATGACAATGAGTTCACTGTACTCAAATGGCCTTCACAATCACCAGATCTCAATCCAATAGAGCATCTTTGGGATGTGGTGGAACGGGAGATTCGCATCATGGATGTGCAGCCGACAAATCTGTGGCAACTGTGTGATGCCATCATGTCAATATGGACCAAACTCCCTGAGGAATGCTTCCAGCACCTTGTTGAATCTATGCCACGAAGAACTGAGACAGTTCTGAAGGCAAAAGGGGGTCCAACCCGTTGCTAGCATGGGGTACCTAATAAAGTGGCCGGTGAGTGTATGTGTTTATTGCATGATACGTGAAGTGTTCTGTATGATTATAAAAAATATGTTCAAAAGTTGGCTTTCCAAAACAAGAGTGAACAGATTAGGGACTATTATCAACATAATAGTGTATTGGGGTCTGGGTGTTTATTTTAAATACTGCGGTAAATATGAAGCAACTTATTTCAATTATACTGGAAAGTCTTTTGTGACACATTTCTAACCGCTTAGATAGAAGCTTCAAAAGAAAGATGACATAAATATCAAGTTTAAAAGTTTATAGTGCCTGGAATGTCTGGTAAGGAAAAGAGAACAGAGAAATGCACCGACTAGTCTTAATGATGTTGCCCTGTACTTTTTGGGCCCTTCGTACGGCCCTGCATGCAGACTACGGGATTAGAAAATGTTTTTAGTGTTGATCTTTAACTACAGGAAGATTTGATGTGAGTCCAGTATAAGATCTTGGATCAAAGTACTACTAAACTCATTAAGAGAAAAAACAAAAATTCTAATTTTTCTAATAATAAAAATATATTAAGAGTGGGATCAATCACATTATAAGGAAATGTAATCTAATGAAATAAAAGAATTCCTGTGGGTGTTTTTTTTTTTTTTTTTTAAACACAGTGCCAGCTGTCTAGAAAAAAATTCAAAAGACATGAGCTGAGAGGTAAAATCTCCGGTCACTTTTCAGGGAATTAAAACCGTCCTAATCATTCAAAGCAATACTATTGAAATAAAAAAAACAAACACAACTAAATATTTCTGTTCAGGGAAGACATGACAAAACAAAAAAGAAACTTTGGAGCTGACCTATGACTCGAGAGACCAGACACAGGATGACAGTTGCTGTCACAAACACCCAATTCCATTCATGGGGTCCTTCCACTGTGGCCACACCAAGAAAGATGAAGATCAGCGTCTCGCTGACGCTGCTCCACATTTTCAGGAAGTACTTGATGGTGGTGTGGGACTTGTGAGAAATATTAGCCTCTACGTAGGGTCGCATCACCGCTCCACACGCTATGAGCCTGAGAAGGAGAGAAACAAAAAGGAAGCCTCAAGATAAAATCGTGCATTCCAGTACTTTGGATGGTTTAAATGTTTTCTCTAAATAAGGTCACTGCAGGGCAAGCATTTCAAAAGAAATTTAGAAGGAAGTGATATTTGTCTGCAGAGGGCCAATATTACAAAGCTTGCATGTTAACCCTAAAATGCTGCAGTCTTCCTTGTCTGGTTAACACACTTCTGCATCAGCCCACAGTCATACAAGGACTGCATGTCAAAAATCTGAAGGCCAAAAGAAACAGCCACATAACTTTCCCATAAGCTGCTGCAGCTGTTAAAACATTTACTGCAGTTCCTTCTTATGAATATTGGTTTTACTTTCAAGGATTTATATAGATAAAAAAACATGAAATCAAGTACAGTAATGCATTTAATACCTCTTTTATCAACCGTGATATAAAAAAGTCGGATTGGGATTTTCTTATTACCGTATTTTCACGACTATAAGGCGCACTTAAACGTCTTTTTTTTTCCTCAAAATGTGCGGTGCGCCCTATGGTGCGGTGCGCCCTATGTGTGTTGTAACTGCGACTTTTGAGACCACCTCATTGAGGAGATGATGAAAGAGTGGCTGAATGTAAGGAGACCAGGTGTTTTTTTTCCACCCCTCACCATCGCTGTTAATATGTAACTCCATGCGTGCCCATCTCACAGCTGATGTGAAAAACATGGGGAAACAAATTAACGCTGTGCTCGCTGTTCAACCGCTCGACATCAGTGTGAACCGGACCAAGCAGGTGCAGCAGAAGCAGCGAGTTTACATGCAAAGTCGATGGTTGACGCGCGTATAGGCACAGCAAAAGGTCCCGCAGCGCGTTTTGGTGCAGCACGTCGGGAGCGTTTAAGCGCTGCTGCAGCTCAGATGGAAAAATTGAAGTTTTGCTGCTGGACGCGCCGCATCAACCAATCAGAGAAGCTGATCTGGGAGCTGGCAGCGAGACAGACAGCGCTCTGATGACATTAATGCAAATGAAAAGGCTCGGTGGATGCGTGGCTGAGGCAGGTGTATGTGAGAAGACTAGGTGGTTTTTTCCACGCATCACCATCGCTGCGTGCCCATCTCACAGCCGATGTGAAAAAAAGATGAATCAAATTAACGCTGTGCTCGCCGTTATCCCGGGGGTCTGACAAAGGAGCTTCCACCGCTCGACATCGAAGCGGCCGTTCACAGTAAGGCTGCGAGCGGCGTGGGAGCGATGGATGACAGACTGAGACCACAGTTTCATGATAAATGGAAGGCAGCGCCGTGCAAGTTACGCCACCGTTTGCGGATGGATTGTAGATGGACTGTGTCTGCTGGCTCTGTTGTTCAAGCTTTCGCAAAAGCCGGCATTATTTCTGAGGAGCTGCGCTGCACGGAAAGTGACTGACAGCGCAGAAGGGGAAACTGGCATGTCTGATTTAGCGCAGCTGTTTAATTCAGAAACAGAGGATGATGACTTTGAGGGGTTTGATTAATACTCTGTAATAAATACTTGAATAAAGCACAATCATACTCAATTTTGCTCCCGCTCTATTTTTCTACCTGAAAACTTAATTCAACACCAGCCTCTGGGCCGCAGCGCATCAGGGCTCACCTCCGCAGGTGTTTTTTCATCTAAATAATCTAAATCTTTTTAAGTGAGAAAGTCCACCTGAAAATTTAATCATTGCAGTCAGTTCATCCAGATTATTATCCTGCCTATGTTTTAAGTTAATTTATGCGTCAATAAACGAAGAAGAAGGGGAAACTGGCATGTCGGATTTAGCGCAGCTGTTTAATTCAGAAACAGAGGATGAGGACTTTGATGGGTTTGATTAATACTCTGTAATAAATACTTGAATAAAGCACAATCATACTCAGTTTTGCTCCCGCTCTATTTTTCTACCTGAAAACTTAATTCAACACCAGCCTCTGGGCCGCAGCGCATCAGGGCTCACCTCCGCAGGTGTTTTTTCATCTAAATAATCTAAATCTTTTTGAGTGAGAAAGTCCACCTGAAAATGTAATCATTGCAGACAGTTCATCCAGATTATTATCCTGCCTATGTTTTAAGTTAATTTATGCGTCAATAAACTGTATCAGAGGAGTAATCGCAGCCCTGTGTCATCAGCGATGTGTCTCTCACGGCTGGTTCCCAGGTTTGAATAATACTTTGTAATAAATACACCTTGCAGCTTTATTTGCTGTGATCAGTGGGAATAAAGTAGTTTTAATATGTTTTTAAGTGAGAAAATCCACCTGAGAGGACATGTACCTTTATATAAAAAACGCGCCCTATAGTCCGGTGCGCCTTATGTGTGTGTTAAATACAGAAATGGCACACATAACTGAGACTGCGCCTTTTAGTCCGGTGCGCCTTATGGTCGTGAAAATACGGTAGATGGAATAAGAGTGCTCTAAACACACCAAAAAGAAAGAAAAAAAATGAAATCCTTGAAGCTAGATATACATCTACTGTAGCTCCTTCAGTGTGAAGGGACATAATATATCAACACTTTCATCAGAATCTCAAACCAGGTAACTGATCACTGTATGCTGCAGGGAGTAATTAAAAGCCACTTTGAGATGTGTGGTTGCTCATAAAACCAGGCATGGTTTATGTAGCAGTAGATAGGCTAGAACAATTTCAATATTGGTTAAAGGAGCTGCCTGAAACAAGGCAAATAAAGACTAAAACAACATTTAAATATACATTTGTTGTGTATTTTGCAGTTTGGGATTTATATGATGGCTTAACATTCATAACCAAACTTACTAGAAAACGTACAATAATAGAACCAAACGTTAACAAGTCAAATTGTGAAAAGACACATAAAAAGAATGGAGCAGGCTTTTTAACCAAGTTCCAATGGGACAGATGGCCAGAGCACAGGAGAAAGATAAACTATAAGAAAAATATAAGTAACTTTTATAAGCGTAAAATTTACAAGGTGAGAAAACATTTTTCTGATTGTAGATGCGTACATAGCATTAAAAAACAAATAGATTTGGTAACAAATATAACTTCAGACAGAATAACCTTAAAAAAGGTTTGACCAGTTAAAATACTACAGTATAGTTTCACCCTCAAAATTAAAAGGAGACATGAAGCACACCTGCTGAGAGAAATGAAGGCGCCGATATCTGTGGGCATCACATGAACATTGAGAAGAAATTGCCACATCTATACTGAGTGCTGCCTTGCTTTTAGCGTTTCAAATGACAGTTTACGTCATAATGGGTCATTCATTGCTATGGTGAAATGCAGGCAGGTTGGGTATTAGTGCTTCCATGGAAATACAATCAGAGGTTTTCTTTTTTTGTCTTTGGTAGGACACCGGTCTAAACTCTAGTGAACTCTCACTACTTTTTTCCAGATTTATTTTCCCTAATCCTGAAAATTGAAGCTCAATAGTTTTCTAACTATGGCAGCTTTGTTATGCAGCAATTCCTAAGATCCGCCTTCCAGATGCACCGTTTTTCAGTGTGCCCCCGACTCTCATCTGAGACTTACGCCATGATGCCTGAAAGGTGGAACATCTCGGCTGCAAGGTAGGCCATGTAGCTGTAGACGAACACAAAAAGAGGCTCGATGACCCGTATGTGGGAGGTGAAGCGAGACGTGAAAGCAGCCAGGAACCCGAAGATTGCTCCAAACAGGACACCACCCAATGCTACAATAAGAAATGAGATGATTCCCAGAAAGCCGTCCAATACGGTCACTGAGCCAACCAACGCAAACTCCTCAAAAAGATGGTAGAGTACCTGTGGGAGAAAAGGGAGGTCAGACAGGGAGAAAAGGAAAGAATGAGAGCATGAGGCCTAAGAAAATGAACTACGAGATGACCATAAACACAGAAAATAAATTTATATATCCTTAGCTGAACTGTTGAGTTTGATAAAGTTGCACACAAAAAAATTTATGTGTTCACAAATTCACAAAGAGCTGACAAAACATCAAATACATGCTTGGATAGACATATTTGCTAGTCAGGTATTCAACTCATGTAGTCATTGTTTGTTTGGAACTAAGAAACACATAATTCAACATACCTATAGTCAGTTATAGGCCTGAGGGATAAACCCTATATATACCATTACCGACATTCACTATGATAATTAGCAACAATTTTCCAATGTCGGTAAAATAAATTAACCTAATTTTAAAGTTTTACCTGCAGCTAACACAGCCGTAAACAAAATTACATCACTTAATCCCTTGAAGCCAAGTGCATGCAGAGATGAAACTGAGTGTGCAGATAAAGTCGAGTGCACCTTTTCAGAGTTAAACGCACGGAAGACAGCAAGGATGTGCTGCCAGTGCCAAATTCTTCTGTATGCTACTCTGCTTTTTAAAAGCTCACTGGTGCTAAACAGGGAGCTCATTTATGACCTGAGGACAATGGGTTTGGTGGAATGAGAGTATCACACGGGAGGGATAACACTGGATAGTATTTAGCAGTCACAGTAAAGGTATTCAGTGTGCTGGTTGGTGTAAAAATCACCCACTTATAAGGCTTTTTGATGATGCTGTATGAATATTTACAATTTTCTAGTTAAAAGAGATATGAGTCATAATAACCTAACACCTGATGGCAATTTAAAATGGCAGGCAATGCTTTCTTATGTAGGTAAAAATATATTAAACTGCCAAAAAATAAAGCCTTTGAGCTCCAATGCAAAAATCCAAAACACTTATATTGGGGAATATAAATAACAGGAAAAAAGGACACGTATCTGATTGGCATAAATAATGGAGCTCATAGTTGAACCAAAGCATCAACAGCTAATAGAAAATAATTTTAAAGATAAACTCTTGAGGCTTTCTGACTTTATCTATACAAACATTTTAAGGCAAGGCATGGTAACCTGCTGCTGTCCCCTAAACTATGTCTTCTTTTAAAATTCAAAGCATGACCACGTACCACAGTCACAGCATCGTTCAGCAGCGATTCCCCGAACACCAGGATGTGCAACAGTTCATTTATATGAATCTCCTCAAAAACAGCGAGCACAGCAACAGGATCCACAGCTGAGATGATGGAACCAAACAGCAGGCAAGGCAGAAGTCCGATGTTTAGTACCGGGGTTTGTGGGATCAGACATATAGCAAAGAGGAGTCCTCCGACGAAGAACGCATTCCATAAAGTCCCCACAACAGCAAACATGAGGATTGTGCCGAGGTTTTCCATAAAAGGTCGGATGGGCAGGAAGTAGCCAGCATCCAGGATGATGGGGGGCAGCAGGCAATAGAAAAAGAGTTTAGAGTTTAGGACTGGAGGGACTTCTTCTCGAGCTAGCCTGATGAGGCCACCAACCAGCAGGCCCACGACTATCAGTAAGCAGCTCTCTGGAACGATGCCTGATAGACGAGGAACCAGATGAAAACCTGACAGGGAAAAGAAAAGAAGAAATTATGTACTCTATCCATTCTCTTGATTAACAGTAATGTCAGAAATAAAAAAAGAGGACTCTGAATTCATAAGGTAACAATAAATGAACACCCAATGTTAATGATAATCGGATAGGACTTCAGCAGAGACAAAGCCGTTTTGTCAGCTATAAATAAGCACTAAAATGCCAGAGTCCGTTTTTCTGACACACTATATGTGCAGAGGGGAGCTGACTAACTGTATGTGCCCTCTTCACCTGATCTTTTCCGTACATCTGCTTCTGTCTGACCCCCAGTCAGCCTCGGCAGATGACCGCTCACACTGAGCCTGGTTTTCCTCTCCACTGTCGCTACAAGCATGCTTGGTGTGAGGGATTGCTTTCGAGACAACGAGTCGATGCAATCAGCTAGTTTTCCTTAGATAGAAAACTTTGAACCAATCTGACTGATCTGTTTAAATTGTCTCTGTAATGTGTCTTGAGATGATGAGTGTTCTGAATTGGCGCCAAATACATTAACTGAATTTAATTTTTTTCTTTAAAACTACCTGGAAGTATAAATTTGTCAATAACATACAAGAAAATAAAAAAAAAGGCAGGCCTCAGTAGATTTAGCTGCTACTAATATTATGGAAACTCTGTATTATTGACTAACAAGCGGCAGTTTATGTAAAGTTAACACCTATATTAATGTTCCATGGAAAATAAATACACCAATGTTTCTTCTGAGGGATTGTCAGACATGTCAGAGCTTGCATGTTGTTTTGAAACAACTGTGAGATGGAAAATCTGTGGAAAATATCGTTATTGTATTACACATCATTATACATTCTTAAAGAAGGAAAACAAAGGCAAGAAAAAATGGTCAACATGAGAGATCTTAAAAACTATAGAGCTATTCCAAGGAAAATAATGAAACACAATCTTTTTTTGCCTTTAAGATTTTAGCCTTTATTTTTGTCTTTTTGAATAATGGGTTAATGGACACTTCTATAAGTTCCAGCAAAATGAAATATCCTCGGGCATCCCTCTGGATGGTGCGCCAGCTCCTGCATGCCTACAGAGGGTATCCAAGCAAGTTTGAACAAGAAGGATAGTTAGTCTGAACCGACGATAAGAAAAGCTGTTTTATGCATTAAAATTTTATCCTTCATAGCTATATAATGACATTCAAAGCATGGTTGAATTCACATAAAGCCTAACACAACAACTTAAAATATGTTTGCACTGTATGGTGACATCACTTCTCCAGCTGTCTCACCAGTAATGTACAAAAGGTGACAAGACTTCAAACGAACTGCAGCACACGGTTCATGTCCGGCTATATTTACTGTAAACTAATCCCACACAGGTTTGTGTCAAGTTGAAGCTGGCCGCTGTAACAAATGTCTCCACGAATCAATGACAATGAGACAAAATAGAAACAGGAATATGTGCACAGATCCATTACAACAAGATTACACTGGCAAGATTTTCCCGTTGGAATAACTGAATGCTTAATAAAAAAGTTTTTACAAGGATTTAACTAGCGTCAATAAAAAGTAAGCGCTAATATAACCTGACTTACAGCTTTTATGTTAAACTGGGTTTTGATTAAACTGCACAGTTCGTTGTTTTAAATTAGCATTCAAAGTCTCAACCTACAGTTGACCTGCAATAGCTCCTTTATACATTAGAGCTTTGGCATGTAAATAATTCTCCTGGAGCTCATCGAAACCTAATTCAGATCCAAAAGAAGGTACAGCCAAAGAAAACCCTACTGTGCAAGGTTTTGATAGAACTTTTCCCTGACACAATGTCTTGCAGCGCTAATTATTCATGAAAAATGACCTGCCTTCCAATATGTTATGGCAAAAGCTTCAAAGTTATAAAGAAATGGGCGAAAATGGGGTCTTAACAAAAAGAAGGCTTCCGCTCATCTGATACTCTTGATGAGTTTCTTTGTACCTTTGCTGCATTACCATTTCATGCTGCTTTTTGTGCCTGTAAAATAACATTTTGTATCAATTGGATATTAGAGATAATGGATTCCCCAATAACAGATTTCTTCTAACAGAATAAGAACTGGTGTTTCAGTACTTGCCTAACAGCTGTGTGATAACAACAAAAGTAGGGCTGTAACTAATGATTATTTTGCAAACCGATTAATCTATTGTTTATTTTTCTGATTAATCGATTAATAATCAGAAAGCCAAAAGTTTGTTAAAGAAGAATTTTTGCTACATTGAACCAGGTGAAACTAAAACTTTTCCACTTGAGGCGTTCTGGATAAAGCATTGACAGACGAAAAAGATTTTAATCTTAAATGGAAAATGTTTAAATATTCTGGTATAATTACTACTCTAAGTGAGTTTCTGTCAGCTAAAGCCATGTTTTAGAGTCTATACTTCAGTTAACGATTAATCGATTACCAAATTAGTTGACAATTATTTCAATATTCGGTTAATCACGTTTAATCCGATTGTTTCAGCCCTAAACGAAGGTTTTGATCTTTTTCAGAAATGCTCAGCATAGACTGATTTGACTCTGTGATCCTTGTATATAACAAAGAAGCTGTATCAGCTGACACTCGTACTGGGATCAATACTGGTATCTGTGCGTCCCTACTGAGGATCTGAATACCCAAATATTATTTAGAGTTATGTTAGTTATGTTATAAAAATGTCATTGGCATATGACAGTTTCAAAACAACACAACCTTCAGAAACTAATCAGCTTTTAGGCATTTCCCTGATCCCACACACCTGAAACAAGTGGCTGGATTAAGTGCAGTCTCAGTACTCACAGTACACCCTATGCCCCTCTATCAAGTCTGCACTTGGTTGGAGTGCAAATAAGGGCTTTAACCTTGCCAACAGTGGAGAATAAGAATGAGTACTTGCACCTTCGTGTGTAACAGGCACATCGAAAATGTGGGGACTCATCCAGGTTTTTAGAAACATTTTACAAGTATATGAACATGATAGTACATGAAGGTAGTGAAATACTATTTTTTAATCACTTTAAGTAAACAAAAGTACAAATCAAACAATTAATATAACTAAACAGGACCTCCTAGGTTAGGAAAGGGAAAAAAATACACAAAATGCTCAAAAATATATGTGGGTGGAAAAAGTGTAGTTGGATCAAAAAGCTATAAAGGAAATAAAATAAGAATATATATTTTTAAATTAAAAACCTCAGAAATGTCATTTATTTTCATTTCTATTTTATTATAATTTTATTGTATTAAGGTACTCTGAAAATCAAAGAACATTTAAACATAACATTGTTCTTGATTTAGTGAATTGCAGGTTGAGATATGGATTTAAATATTGTGATTTAGTAAATCTAAGGTCATGTTTATTTAGGTTGGATAATTTTTCTAAAAAAATGTATTAAAATCTATAACAATCTTAGAAATAGCTATTTCCTCACTGTACTAATCCTTAATGAAAGTTTACTTTTTGTTGTCAAGTATCACTCGGTTGCTCCATAAAACCTTTAGGAGAAGAACTATGGATGAATATAAGTTTAGAGAATAAAAAAAATAATGCATTTCATTTCAAGCATCTTTCAGAAACATTGCAGTAAATTGGGCCAGCCAGGTGGATCAGGTATGGAGTTTCATTTCTGTCGTTGGAGCTAGCACTGTGGGCTGATAATTTTCATTTTAATCAAATGGTGTGGCATCCTTTTGTTCCAAACACATAATCTATTCCGTATGAGTATGGTTTCCCAGCATGACATTTTCCCCTGGTTGAGACATGATGTCATTTCAAAGTGTTCCTTTTTTTAACACTGTAAATTTCAAGGGAGATAAGTTGCCTTAATTTAGCTCCAAAATAGCAATAAGGCATATCAGGAAGAGAAAAAAACTCTGCCAAAAGAAACTAGTTTGAGGGATAGAGGACTGCAGCTTTGTAGCAGTAGAAGAACCATGCAAGATCTGCATGGAAAGTAAACAAAATGTTCATTATTTTAATACGAAACTTGACACTGAGGTCCCAAGTGTAACAAATGGTAACACTCTGAAAAACCTCTGGTGCTCCTGACAGCACACCACTTTTTTTTTGTGAGTCGTTTGTTGTACCGCGGACTGACAGGAAACGAGTACGAGAGAGGGGGAGAGACATGTGGAAAGGACCACAGATCAGATTCAAACCCGGTTCGGCCACATGAGGACTAAGGCCACCATACATGGGTCATGCACGCCAACCACTAGGCCACCGAAGCATGCCCTGCAGCAAACCACTTTAACACGTGTAAAAAGTGAAACTGGGTCATGTGCGATACTTCAAACCAAAATATTCCATGTTAGAATCTAGATGGTAGCGTGGGAAACCATGCAGTGGTATTATTAAGAGTACAAACAGTCCCACAATCCCTTGCGTGAAGAATTTAAGTGAGTGCCTTTGAGTCCTAAACCATAAATAGCCATCATAAACTGGTATGTAATGTGGCAGTGAAACAGAGGTACATTGTGACTGATAAGCTCATCAAATCACTAGCAGCATGTCTACAGAGGTAAGAACAGAAGTCACAAATCCACAATAATATTAGCCAAAGTCATGTTGAAAGAATACTTCAGGAAAATACTTAAAAAATGTCCTGCTGAGTGAGTTCTGCAAGAAAACCAACTAGAAATGCTAGACATGGAGTACTCTAGGAAAGCAATAGTCACGGCTAGATGGAATAAATGTAATACGGCTCGTGCCTCAAGGAGAGTCTCCTTTCCGTACACGATCAAAGAGGGAAATTGGGAACTAAACATATTTCATGGGTGACTGAAAGGGACAAGGCTGTGCATGCAGTTCAATCAGGAGGAGAGAAAAAAAAGACATTTTAGGATGATTACTGAGCCTTCTGTGTAAGGACTCAAGACACTTGGCAAGGCTTGTTGTTTCTTACAACAACAAAAACTCTAGGTGATGACATTTCACACTTTTATCTCACCTGAAAGCCCTAATTTATTACCTTTTTTTTAGATTTAGAGAAGTTAAGACTGTGTAAAGATGG